ACACACACACACACGCTCTGTCAGCTGTTATGAGAAATATGCAAAACCGGTTAGAGTGTGTGGATTGAGATTGCTTTCCTCTCATTCTCTTCACAGTTTCCAAGATCTGCCAGATAAGACATCAGAGTTAATATTCAGCAAAGAGCTAGCTCATTTTCATATGGTGGCAAAACAGTTTTGTTTGCATGTGGCTTTAAACTCACAAAGAAAACAGAAACACACACACACAAACAGGCCTTTTCCCTACACCCCACTGCACTGCTGTGCGAGCCATCCACCCTCTGACACAAAAGCCACCATGCTGAGTCTCCTCCGGGTTTGGCTGCCTGTCAGTGCAGCGTGAAGCAGGTGCAGCGTTTGCACCTTCAGGTGACAAAGGCACTGCTCTGATTACAATCTCTGCATCTGAATATGAATCAGAAGGTGACCTAATGGCAGCGTCACAGCCGGGGCCGGCTGCCATCAGCTTGACGTCTCTCAACAGGCAGATTATCCCAGCTGTGATCGGAGCTTACAAAAACATTACGCGCTCGAAATGTTCACGACAGCCCGAGGATACGCACATAACTGCACTTTAATGAAAAATTTATAGAGCCATGTTTTGGCCCTTTTTTTTTTCTTCTATTCCTAGATGATGCTGCATTCAGAGGATGTGGGACATCTCAAAACTCTTTGTAAATATTTAAAAGGCTTTAAAGCACACAGATATTATTTTTCTCACATTAAGATTTAATGATTAAAACAAATATCTGTTCTTAGATCGTACTTTTCAGTGTTTCTTTTTTAGCCAATATTAAGCAGGGAGTGCATGTTAAAGAGTTTGGACTTGTCATTAGTTCTCACTGGTTTTTGGGATAATCAGCTGATTTGCGTAAACACAGAGCACCCTCCCCTCCTCCCCTCTGCTCTTTTTAACAAGCTTCTGTCACCACCAGCACCTCCTGCCATTGATAAAGAGATTAGAATGGAGCAGATTAAAACATGGTCACGGGATAATCCCGGGTTACTTTTTACACAGCGGCCTAAATCTGCAAAGTCATCAAGTGACACTGTAAAGGCTCCAAAATCCAGTGTCACAGTCAATTAAGTCGACACCGTTTCTTTTGCAACCTCACCTCCAGCTCCCATTTTACTGTACAGCAGCCATGTAGCTGTGCGGTGTGTGCATGCGGTGGAGAGGCGTTACACTCGTCTGTGTTTGTGACAGATTTAGTAACCACACCAGTGCATGCTATTATATCAGGCTGATTGGATTATTGCTAGAGATCTAAAATGATAAAAGTATTTAAAAAGTGCTTAAATTGTTTCTTTTGGCAAAAAAAAAAACATAACAAAAAATTCCCTTAAAATAGTACGTTTATATAACACATATAAAACATTCACATTACATAAGCAGCACCAGTGATTATTGATTTGTCTATTTTTAGAATACACAGGAAGATTGCAAATAAACAGCCACACCTTGCATATTTCCCCCATGTGTTACAGGGAAGTGCTGAAAGAAGTCTGTGTGCATTTGCAAAGTTCCTAGTAAGTGAGGCCGAGTACAGCGACTGCAGACGCCGTGCCTGGATGGATGGCTCTGTCAGCAGTATCAAAGTCTTATTTCCTCTAAATGGCCTACTGAGAGTAACGTTTCAGTCACATCGGTGAAGGAGACATCCTCAAATGTCAGATTCAACACATTTACAGAACTGACCCTCTAAGCTGCTCTTCAGTAATAGCAGCCTGTTAAGAAAGCTGTGGTCCTTTGTCCTCACACCTCTGCCGTAGTGGGAATGCTGGTGCTTTGCTGCCTTTCTCAGGATGGTTAAAGGATCTGATGTGAACAGGCTGTTGCTCCATGTGAGAAGCTGTGTACCAGTGACCGAGTCAGCATGAAGCTGCTGCAGTTATTTAGGTCACTGTGCTTCTCAGACGGTCAGCTGACCGTCATATTCAGTACTCGTTTGCCTCCTAGCTGCAGAAACCTGAACTACATCCTACTCTCTGAGATTCAGACCTCATTTAGAAGTCTGAGCTGGCCCCTGCTGATGTGTGCTTCCCTGACCACCTTGGTCCAAGCTGATTTTATGTGACATATCTGCTGAAGATCTGAGGCAAACAGCTTTGTACTCTTATTCCATTCACTGTCGATGGAAAGCTCTTTTGACTCGGGTCCATCCAGGGTGATGGCTTTGGAAGCCCACATTAGTTCCTGGAGTACTTCTGAAAGGTTCCTGGGCTGCCGGCCAAGACAGCCATGTAGAACAGCCAATAGTCTGTTAATGCTAAAAATAAATTAGCAATAGAAACACCTCGAGGTGCTGCTCGATGGACCTTTAGATTTGCACTTTACCTGACTGTGAAGCACCAACCAAATACAATTGCATCGAACTTCTAATAGGAATATGTTAGAGGAATAAGTTGGTGAGATTAAGTAAAGATTTCTTGCTCTAAAAGTCATTTTTTAAGCCTTCTTTCTGGGCCACTTGTGTTTAATAGCCAAAGTGGAGAATATATAAACATATCGGGCTCTTTTATCTTAGGTCTGAGCTTGTTTGGATATGGATATTCTGGCCAGGTAAACAGAAGTGATCAGAAGCAGCCTTAAAACTCAGAGGCAGGAATTTTGCAGCTTCAGTGGAAGCAAAGGCCTCACAGAGACAGTACAGGTCATTAAGGTGCAAAGTCTAAAGTCCCGATACTTCAGCTGACGCAGATGGGGATATGTCTTGCATTTTACCACCAGCGTGTAATCACACCTCCCCAAAGAGTGCAATGAAATGAAACAGAAACCTGGAGGCAGTATGATTGTGAACTCGTGTTGTCACGTCATTTATTTACAAAAAACAGAAAAAAAACATGGTTACCATGAAAAAAACAAAACAAAAACAAAACAAAAACATAACCAAGACCTTAAAAAGTTCAACACAGAAAAATGCACCTTGCCACAGTCATGTGACACTGACTGCATGAGACATGCCCACGCTGTTGATTTACGGTTTACTGTTAAAGCGCTAACAGATGATCGGTGCTGCAGTGTGCATCCTCTGAAATTCAAGTCTGCCTCTTCCTCTTTCATTTCCTGCGGTGGACGACTCTCTCGCTGAGCTTCGTTTTGGTTCATCTCCTCTAGAACTTGAACTCTTTGTATTTCTTGGCGCCGCCTCGTGTGTCCTGTGGCTGGGCCTTCCTCTTTTTTTGCTGTTT